AGGTTTCGCGTCGATGGCGACAAGACGTGCTGGGCCAGAAGAAGAAGATGACGACGACGACGACGACGAGGAGTATTCGTAGCGCGCTGAAGGCGAGTGATCGGCGGTTTCAAATACCTAAAGGATCAGAGAGAAAGGATAAATAAAGAGTGCTTGTGGATAATTGACTTGACTAAGAAATACGAGTATATTGAGTACCACATTTCGCACGAAATATTTACACTTACCGTTTCCACAGTCGGTCCGCTATGATAATTTTGTATATAGCGCTCGAACTCCTGATTCTGTTTGTCTTGAGCATTGGCTTGACGAAATTGGCTCTGCCGGCTTGGCTGGCGTAAACGTCCATAAAACCGCTGTTGCTGTTGCTGTTGCTTGAACCCACTCGATTGCTCTTCAACCTGTTGTACCTGCTGCGCTGATTTCGAATTACTATTGAAACTGGAAGCGTCTTGCTTTTGTTGCTCATTCAGCTGTGCATTTCCACTACTCTCTACACTCTCTTCGGCTGCACGCAACCTGGCACTACGCTGCTCCCCACTAGCTTTCTTCAGTGGACCCGCCTTCAGCTCGTCAGGTGCGGTGCCATCCACATAGGTGACATCGGCAGGATTTGTGGCTGGATGTTGAGCAATCGAAATGTTGACATGAGTTGCTGCAAAGGCTGTGACAATGCACAGCAACAGCAAAAAGAGAGTTCTCATCGCGGGTATGGTATCCTTTTCTGATGCAGCAAATGAATTAATCCTTGTACTTGTACTGGTGGAAATCGTTTCGTTCACAACAGTTGACCGATGCGCTACCGATACGTACTGCTGGTCGCAGCTAAGTGAACTTCGAGTGTTGGTACTGACGCTATTTTATATGTATTGCATGCACGGCGATGAGCTGGTAAAGCGCGCCATTGATACGCTGTGTCGTCGCTGCGCATTGCATGTCAGGCGCATACGACAAGCTAAGTACAAACGATTTTGGGCATTTTCGACGTGTAAATACACAAATTGGTATGGAATTCAATTTAAATTGATTTTTAGCAAAAAACAGTGGTATACGTATGTATGTATGCATGCGCGTACATTTGTAACTACATTTGTGCATAGGCAGTTCAAAAATCTGTTTACTTGCAACCGGCGATCAGAATACCGATCGAGCTGTATTCAAGCATAAATCAATCGATCTTCGGATACACCAAAACCGAATGTTATGACCGGACGGCAGCTAGTCGATACTAATGTCTATCATACAGCCAGCTTTACAAAAAAAAAAAACAAAAAAAAATTCCAACACCCCGTTCAAGGGGATGATCCACTACGCGCCACACACGATCACTGCTGCGCTGTCGCTGTTTAAAGCTGCATAAACGTCGCCTCGCCTGTTGTCATGTGCATCGTGTTCGTGTAGAATTTGATTGTTTTTTTTAACCCAGTTTTTCATTTGAGGCATTCGTCGCCGAGCAAATAGTTTTGTCAGCAAATCAGTATGTCACCTTAAGCGCTACACAAGGAATCTTCAATGCTCCGAATTGTCGACTAGTAGTCAAAGCTAGCTAGCTAGCTCGGACACTTGCACGTTGTCACTAGTGCGTTTGATACGCATGCGTGCCACCTACTTGACTGATATGCTTGCCGTCAGGGGAACACACAAAACGTTACAAAAAAATTCGACTACCTAACTATTTTCGGCTTTTTTACTCGCTTGTGCTCGCTTGTCAATGTTGTTAGCGCCTTAACGGTGATAGAAGAAGCGTGAAAATTTACAAAAAGGGTAAAAAGCGGCGCATGGCGGCAAGATATTTACGGCGGCGGCAGCTAAGCTCCTAGAAATGGCGAAGAGGCATATTTGGTTAATTGTCGGAAGGTCAATCTTTTGTTGTTGTTAAAGTTGAGTAGATGCCTATTTGTCTTTTTACATTAAACTTGGGAATATCCAAATAGGCAATTGTGGCGACAAGTTGTATATCTATTTATGATAATGCATTGAACTAGAACTAGATGGGGCGATAGAATGTGTTGGTGCAATTGTTTGGACATTTGCTATAAACATTTGTATGTTAGTATATACATAAGTATAAAATATCGTTGTGTTGTTCCCATTCAGCAGAAAACTGAACTGAGCTCCCACTACTCTTCAGCTGTAGTAACGAAATTTAATTAGCATAAAAATGAAGAAAATATTACTTTGCAAGGAGGCCAATATTAGCTTTACAGCTCCTTGCGGAATGGACGATTTAGATGGGTAATTCAGCGCATCAGAGCTTTCAGTAGTAAACATATGGAAACGGCGCTCTACTCTCTGTTTGGGCCAGTGGTTATTATTTGACGTTATGATTTAACGTTTCTTTTTTTACCAAAAAGCAGTCTTATTGTTCTTGGTGCTACAACCGCGCTTTCCACTCTCCAGTGTAAAGTTCGACCTTACAGTTAGTCCTGCCAATGTGCTCGGGGTGCCCTTGTTTTCCATGTCCAGCCATGGATGGCAAATCGAAAAATCTTTTCACCGCATAATCATCATCCAAGTATACGAAATGTCCAAGTAAAGCTAATGACACTGTAAAGCCCATTCATCCTTCTTCAACACGCGTCGTCTACGCAAACAGGGCCATCGGTCTTGGCAAGATCAACATCACGGACCCGCAATACAATTCTGAAAAACGTCGGGATGGGCGGGTTTGGGACTTAAAAATTGAATTTCGCGATGGGCGGGATCGGGATTTAAATTTTTGTCACGTGCCCATCTCTAGTTGGTACCGCAGAGGCTAAAATCAACAAAAAATTGCTGTCTTATCCATTTGACGCACTTTGAAGTCAGTCACACTGTTAAGGCCCAAAACAATTGGTTCATAAACCGCTTCACCAACTAGTACTTCAATGTTAAGAATACTTTTATTCGGCTTTTCGTCGTCGGCTTTGAACTGCTTAGCTGGTATTTTGCAAGCTCCAACGGCCTTATTATTCTTAAGACTCATTGTTGCTCTTACTGTCTCATCTCGGTCCAATGGAGAGACCTGATAGAATTTTCGAGCCGCATTTTTTTAATGCCAGCGTCTTAAGCTCTTCACACTCACGCCTTTCTCCCTCTTCGTTTTCCTTTGGAATGACGTCTCTCCTTACTCCACTTATCCCGGTATTGCTCAGCTTTGGCTCGCTGTGTGTACCAGTTGCTCTTGCGGGGGTGGTAGAGCCAACCCAACTCTTCCGTGGCGCCACGAAGAAATTGGAAGATGGATACCCCCTGCTAATTTCTGTATATTCGGTTGATGAAGAGTTTCTTGTTTAATTCGAATTGAAAGTCGATTGCGAAAATTCTCGCCTGTCCATTCTGACTACAGGTTCTCATTGTACAGATGCGCATGCAGTTCTTCGGGTAAATTGCCGTAATGACGGAATCCTTATTCTTTGTGATAATCAGGCGGAACTCAATGCAATATTATCCTTTAAGATTAAATCATCGCTAGTCCTTGAGAACCTAGTGTATTGAGAACCTCAGTGTCCTTGCTAAATACAATAACATCCAGGTGCTGTGGGTACTAGATCACGCCTAATAGGGGGATACAATCTAACGGGGTACTGCAGTTGTACTGCAATTGTCTGATAAGATCTAATAGGTTGCTTAACAGGTCATTGCAGATTAAGAAATCAGCTACCCAACCTCAGGATTTGGTCTAATGATTCATGCCGCTTCTGTGACAGGGTAGCTGAAACTGTTGAGCACATACTCCGAGAGAAATAATACTTCGGGTCACTAAACCCGCAGCCGTATCATATGCACTCGATGTCACCAAACAGCCTACTGGATTTCCTAAGTGCGCTAGGACTAATCGAGGTGCTGCGGGGATCTAGACGCTACAATAGAACTCCTAGTCACAGCCAACTGAATATCTATCTATCCACTGGCCACTGCAGGATAATGAAACACTTGTCAAACCTTCGAGTTGTTTACTCTGTCCAGTTCAGTTTATGTTACGAGGAACAGCAAAACAGCAATACCACTACACTAAGTGCCACTACAAAGACCTTGCTAGACCCAGACTTCGCTTCCTAGGATCATCGTACTTAGAAGCACATGACCTAAATAGCATCCAGCCATAAGATATCGCGTGGTTCCTTTATGACGCGTGAATCAAAGATCTGTAACCAAATAAAAATTTGTTGCAATAGATCCTTCTATAATAGGAAAGTAATTACTACAAGTGGTGTCCATATGCGTAAACATACATACAGATATACCTTTTATGGCATTGTCCACACTTTTTATGTCCCCTTTTATTTTTGTTATTTTTATTCTCGAATTTAAATTTATTGATTCGCCAATTATGCAAACAAAAAATACTAAAAAATATAATAAAAAAATAAAAAAAAAAAATTTGCGTACATATGTATGTACATATATATGTATCTTTTGCCCACAATAAATTACCATCCGTTGATGCGAAAGGTTAATGTTCATCGCCTTAGGTGTGCATATGTCCGTGCATGTGAATTTGCATGCATAGTTAAGTGTGTACGTGATGCATTTTTTTATATAGTTTGTGCACACACGCTTATACACCTCGAAAGACATCCATTACAATACCGTTACCTAGTAAATGCGTTTTGCATTTAAAATAGAGCAAGCCACTACGTGACCGAACTAAACTAGAATGAAGTAACAACTTAAGTTTTTTGTAGGTATTTTTAAGTTTATTTGTATTTAAAGCTTAACGAAAACAAAAGTGAATTACAAACTTTTTGGAAGTACACATATATATATGTACATACATACATAAATATGTATAAAGACAATCATCGTAGAATAGAAATAACAATCAATATCAAATGACGCTGTGCATGATTAAGACCATTTCCATCCGCATAGTCCACAGTATGGGAAACTGTATCCAAAGAGTCCGTAGCCAATAGTAAATATGCATTATAGGAGTATATGAATATATGTATGTAGATGTATCATTATTTTGATGTATTCAAATATGTATTTGTAATTAGACATATAAATTTATATGATTTTTAATCATTATCGTAACTTCGATATGTTCGTGAATAGCTTAAAGCAACTTTTCAATATCTTTCGCAATGTCCATGGGATCAGTTGTGGGAGCATAACGGTCAACAGGTATGCCTTCTTTGTTCACAAGAAATTTGGTAAAATTCCATTTGATGGCACTGCCCAAAGTGCCCGATTGCTTGTGCTTCAAATATTGATAAAGTGGAGCGGCGGTAGGACCGTTTACGTCAACCTGAAAGCACAAACAAAGTGTCGAGTATAGGATTGGTTGTAGAATTTAATGCACGCAACTATCTAATAGAAAATGCCAAGCATTTTAATTTGTAATGAACCTGAGCGTAAAGGTAATTAAATTTCATTTATAAAACATGGCATTTACATTGTGTAACGAAATGTCTTTAAATAGTGGTGGCTGTTGTTGTTGTTGTAGTACATTTTGATCGATTTTTTTTTTTTTACTTTTCTGTTATTGTTGTTGTCACCTATTAGATGCGTTAATTCAACATTTTCTTTGTATTTTAAACTCATCGCTGTGAAATGATCACCTGCTTGAAACTAAAATCTTTGTTTTTTTTTTTAAATATTTGAAGTTTAAAAATTATTTTATTTTTTGTAATTCTTGAAATCTGAAAAGAAAATAATTTTTTCACAATTTATTTTTTCACGATTTTCTTTAAAAAATTCAAGAACTACGAAAAATAAAATAAATTGTTTTTGAGGAGACCGTAATAACGCCTTCATGTTCACAAAAAAAAATACGAGTTTAGTTTTATCACAAATCCTTCGAAATTTTCGGTATTTAAAAATCAATATTAATGAACAATTCAAAACGATATTTATATTTATGTATGTATGTATAAATTTTTTATGGAAAAAAATGTCTAGGGAATTATTTTAGTAATATATTGTTTTTTTCGGTGCTCAAGGGAATTCTTTTAAACAAGTTAAGTTGATGTACCCGAATGTGAAGTGTTTTGAAACGAATTTCCATCATTCCCTATCAAATTTTGTTTGTAGTTAAACCGGTTTCAGGGTCGGTCCCAAAATTATATAGTTTTCATGCGAATATGTTCCAGGCGAAATCCTCTGAAAAATCATCGAATATCGAGAAACTTTGACTGATCTGTAAATTTTTCTTAAAAAAAAATAGTTTTGAGTTTCCCTATTTTTCGAGTTAAAGGAATCAGCTAATTGAGGAGTAGCAGCACTGTAACCACTCAATTAAAAGCGTGTTTTTCTTTAATTTTTTACATGGAATACATTGAACAGGTGAACAAAATGTGGGTGCGTTTTTGAATAAATACTGCAGTATAAAAAATAATTTTTTCGATTAAAAAACCAAAATTTTCAGGGAAAATATTTTTATTTCATGTATAAAAGTACACTTCTCATATTCTAGAAGGTTCAAAAATATTTTTTACTATTAAAAAATATCGATTTTTTTTAACTCTCTACAGGGGTGTTTGTTACCCCTTATGCCGAATTTCTACTAGGCATTGAAATGACAAAACCGTTCCCACGACAGTCGGGTCTACGTAACCGGAACGACCCAGATTTATATCTGGCTAAGGACTGTCACTCCAGCAACACTCCCCAAAATCTCTTTGGGGAATTTGTATGCTGTTACAACAAAAACAACATGACAAAAAAATTGAGGTATTTAAAAAATGCCACGTGGAAATGAATTTAATGACTTTTTTTTCTTTTAAGTAATGACAAGAATATTTTTTTATTACCATTTCCAAAGAATTAAGAACAATTTCAAATTTATTATCAATAATTTAAATTTTTAATTTACTAAAAGCACTTAACTTTAGAAAAAAAAAAACTCCACAAATCAACTCACCTTTTGGAATACATCACCAATATTGGCTTTGGCGTCACGCAAGTGGCACACCATTTCTTCACCATCAGCTTCAGGCATCTGCGAACTGAATTGATTGCATGGGAAATTTAAAATGCGTAGACCTTTCGATTCGTATTTCTCCAACAAGTTGGTCAATTTGGCGTAGTTGTTCTTGGTCAAACCACATTTGGATGCAATATTTACAATTAGCACCACATTTCCCTTGTATTTTTCCAAGGAAACTTCATTACCATGCGTGTCCTTGACAGTAAAGTCATAAATTGACTTGGCATTCTTAGCGTCCTGATCTGACATATTGCTGACCTGAAACGACCGTTTAAAAGCGAATAGGAATTTTAGTCAACCGCCCGGAAGCAAAGGCAAAACAAAACTATTTCAAGAATTAAGTTTAATAGTGGAAATAAGCATTAAAATGTTAGCTGCGAATAAGTCACGCACAGATATGTATATGTACATATATATACTTATCAGGTAAAAGTTAATTGAACTAATGCATATGTATACTAGGTACATAGCAATCAATACACAAATCGAGTGCTAGAAATACCTATGTACATACATACATACATACATACGTGTTAATTTATGCACAAATGCCCATAACTACATTAGAATAAACGTTAAAATTTTAAGAGTAAAGTTATAAAATCAATCATAATTGTTGATCAACTCGCAGGAAGTTTTAGTAGAACAAAGTTCACATCTGTAATCTGTACATACATACAAACATAATATGCATTTCTGAAAAGGGGTTCAGACATACACACTAAAATTTTTTCCTGAAGCGATTACTCACATCATCGGCTTGTGAACGGTGCCCACCGGCGGTAGACGATGACGGTGCAAGTTGTGAAGCAGCGGCACAGTTAACTCCGGTCAACGGCAACAACACTACACACAGCCGCTTGCCGTATGGCAAATTACTTTCGCTGAACGATGATTGCTGTGCTGTTGATTGCTGACCAAAACATAACTGACTGAAACAACGTTGTACTTGACGCTGTTGTTGTTGTAGTCTTTGATACCGCAACAACTTTAGGGAATTCATGCATCTATTGGCAGTTATTTGACCAAATTTTTGTAAGTTATTGTAAATCATTGCAACTGCAGTTGTAAGAAGAAAAAAAATAAGCATAGTTTAAATTTTTTTTTTTATTGGGTTGGCTACTTTATTGAAATTTAATTTTTCAGTTTCTTATAGCAATGCGTGCGAATAAACTGTTTAAAGAGGAATTTACATTTAATTGCACCAATTTATAGAAATGTTTTCTTATTTTCATTGAAAATTTAAGATTTGGTTATAGTGGTTACACTGTAGATAAAACCATGGTCAAAAGAATTTAAATATTAAAACTGTTGGCATTATAGGTAGTGATGGATAAAAAAGCCTATTTGATAAGATTTCATTTTCGAAAAAAACGAAAAAAAATTTTTTTTTTTAATTTTTTATGAAATGAAATATGATAAAGCGAATTAATTGTGTAAGTGTTACATATCGTCACCTGAGTGAAAGATCGACCTATTTCGGCAGCCAGTTCGAAAACGCCCTATCTCAAAATAGCGAAAACTTGTCAAAATATCACTTAACTTAGTCAGCTGACCACAAGGGTATACATACATATGTATACAATACCCGCAGACTATATTTATTGAAAGACAATGACAAAACAAGTTCTTAAGTGCTACAGATGTTTAAAAAAATGAACCATTTTATGTACATGGGACATACAGATGTAGAGAAGTAGAAGAGTATACTCTTACACATATCGATATCTGACTGGAAGATCCCTATCTCGGCAGCCAGTTCGAAAACGCACTATCTTAGAAAGCTTTTCAAGAACGCCCTACTTCAGAATCTGATTTCAGAATTTTATTGAAAAAGACTCTAACTCAGAATTTGGTTAAAGAACGTCCTATCTCTGCTGAAAATACATAAGGGATATTCACGATCCGGCGCATACTGTCTAGCATGGTGCATCGATAGCATAAATAGCATGATTGTTGTTGTTTCATGTGTTCAAAAAACAACAAAATTAGCCAATCATGGTATTTATGCTATCTCTGCACCATGCTAGACAGTATACACCGGATCGTGAATACCCCTATTGAAAATGTGCTGAGATAGGGCGTTCTTCAATCAAATTCTAAAGTAGGGCGTTCTTTAAAAGGTTTCTAAGATAGGGCGTTTTCAAACTGGCTGCCGAGATAGGGATCTCCCACTCATACATATGTACATACAGCTGTATGTCCCATGGCCCATGTACCTAAAATGGTTCATTTTTTTATCATTTGTAGCACTTAAGAACTTGTTTTGTCATTGTTTTTCAATAAATATATTCTGCACGTATTGTATACATATGTATGTATATCCTTGTGGTCAGCTGACTAAGTTAAGTGACATTTTGACCAGTTTTCGCTATTTTATTTTTGTTTATTTAATGTTTATTATTATTTTTTTATATTGAAGTCTAGTATATTATATAAATCCACATTTCCAACATTACGAATTACACCAAAAAATTGCAAATAGGAGTAGTGCAAATTTCAAGATGCGTTGATTTTTAATAATTTTTTAGCTGACGGTGCTATGCATTTTCTTCAGTATAAAAGAAATTCGTCGAATTTTCATAGTTTTTGTACAATGTTTGAAATGTGGATTTATATTGTGCGTGTTACATAATGCGCTAGACTTTTATTAAAGAATATTAAACACCGAATAAACGAAAGTAATATAGCCAAAACTGGTTAAAATGAAAAGCTTCTATAATTTCTTCCACCACTTTATGTAATTACTTATGTTTGTCAAATTTTTATAACTTTGGTACAAAGTTTGAAATGTGGGTGTAGTATATGTATGTATGCGCTAAACTTTTATAAAAAAATAATACTAAATAAACAAAAGCAATATAGCCAAAACTGATCAAAATGTCAGTTAACTTAATTAACTGCCCACAAGTGTATACTTGTACATACTATGTACATTATTTAATTTTATTGACTGATAAGATATGTACCTATAGTGATGTATGTATGTTTTTAAGTGCGTGCAGGTGTAAAAGTATGAATGTAGATATGGGGCCAATTCGAGCTATCTATACATATGTACATATATGTACAATAAATGCGGTAGTGTTACTCTTTATGAAAGAGAAAGTTTGACAATCCGTCGCTTATTTCTAACAAATCAGATGCAATTCCAATTGAGTATCAGCAACAAATTAACAAGGCTGCAATATAGCGGTAATTATTACATTGCTCGAACACACGCATTGTTAGTTGCTAATAAATATCCTATACATATAATATATGCTAATAATAATCTGCTAATATCGTAGTAGTTTGGCTTTGAATTTTTGTGAGAAGTATGTACCTGAGGNGCATATCGTAGTAGTTTGGCTTTGAATTTTTGTGAGAAGTATGTACCTGAGGGTATCTTTTGGAATACATAGGTACTTATTTATAAAACAAATTCCAGAAACTGGCTGTTGCATTGATGTAATCTATGTACATACATATGTACGAATTCATGTACATAAAAATATTTACATACATATATATATATATATATATATATATATATATATATATATATACATATATAAGTATATATACATATGTATGTATAAATATGTATATTTAGTATCAACATTGCAATGCAGTCCCTTTGTTGCAAATTGAGTGACTAAGCGTAAATGCTGTAAAAAGGGTATATTATGTATGTATGAATGTACATACATGCAGAGGGAGGTATGTATATATGTACGTATCTTTATGTAAGTGAAAATGTATAGGATTATTTTTTAATTTATTCAATATAGTTTATTTATAGAGCCTGTCTCTTATACAATAGAATATAATACATTATATGCATATTAACATGTATGTTTATATACATACCTAAATATGTAGGTATGTATATTTGTGCAATCCCATAAGAATTAATAGGCTAAATTATTACCATGTAAGAAATTTGTTAAGGATATTTTTTATTTACTTGACCGTGGTTTTGATAGTAGTAATAGGTTCCGAGTGCGGTCACAAACGCTCCGATATAAAAATGCAGCAAACTAGCCATGAAAAATGTGAAATTCTTTTTGTATATTCACTTGTGTGTGCGGAAAATAATTTACAAATAAACCATGGAATTTAATTTGCAGCTTATTGTCAAAGCAATGTATACCCTATAAACAGAAACATGCCCAGTTATTAATATACAATTTTGCATATACTATGTGCATATCAAAAGATATATGTACATAAATTTTTAAATCTTTCAGTACAAAGTTCACATTCTGCTATGAACTGGGTAATTTCGATCTAGAAAAATCCAGATTTGCTGTGTCCATCAAAGTTATAATACCTTAAATTGGATAGAAATTGTTGATAATTAATTATAAATGATTACTTACTGCTTTTAAATTCTTATCCCCAATAAAAACACAAAATTCAACCGGCTTCAAGAAAACAAGACCTTTCTTCCAATCTCTGAACTGTTTTTGACCTTGTCATCGCGGTGTCAGCTGATTCTTCGTTCCACACATGGTTGCAATTTACCGGACTACTTTTGCTGGAATTAATGTGCGGTAAAACGTGGCAACGCATTTTGCTGTCAAAATGCGAAATCGAAAGTCTACATTTCCGTGTATCAGCCAGGAAGTCCTTTTTGCAGATTTAATGTCATGTCGTTTTGTCTTGAATATTAGTTAATAGCAAAATTTTAATCAAAATTTGATTTTTCGCAGTGCTGTGCAGTTTACTCTTATACCATGTTCTGACCGACAACGACAACACCTTGGAAACGAATTTTGGATTGTGGGCTGAAGGCTGTTCACACCGACTGTTGGTGTTTTCGTTGACATTTCTTTCATCCTTTGTTTACAGTTTTGCTATAAAAAAACAAAACCAAAATACTTTTCCTTCAATTTCTCTTCATTAACAATCTTTTACTTCCATGCTTACTTTATTTTTGCCAGCCAATTAACAATAAATCCGAAATTATGTATTAAAGATGATAAAATATTACTTTCACTTCGATAAATAATCGAAAAAAACTGGTGCAGACGATTAGATTGAGTGGAACGTGAGTTTTCAAATGGTTTTCAGCGAAAACTAGTTTTCATTTGACAGATTTTACATGGACGAAAACCAGTTTTACCAACGAAAACTTGTTTTCGATGTCGGTCAGAACATGGTATTATGTATATATAATTTTGCGGCTTATAACAATGTGTAATAATTAAAATTATCGCGACATATGTACATACGTTAAAAATTTAACAACTAAAGCGCTGTTTTTATGAGGTGGTAATATAATGGATATACCATCATTTTTTTTAACATTCCTCAATGTCTTTAATAGCAGGGACGTTGGGAAAGCAGCTGCGACGTAGAGCTACCGGAAATACCCTCCAACAACAGCGGAACTCATCAATCAAGTTTTGATTGCTAAACAAACAAACAAAAAATTACATTAAATAAATAAATAAAAATTTCTAATTTACTTAAATTTCTACCACAAATTTTTAAATTCAAGTTTATTTATTTTTTAACATTGCCCCTAAGACTGATTTTACATAGTTCAAGAATTGAATTCAATTCTGAGCGCAAATGAAAGAGATGGGGTGAGAAGAAAAGGGACGAGTACACATGCGTCTATACCACGATTGAGAGAATACAAAGGTTGCGCAGATCTCGGACCGCTATTCCTCTCTTAACGAATTTGACAGAATCTTTGTTTGCATGACGTCACACTTGTGCAACTTGTTTACGTTTTCCTTGCAACATTTTTTCTTCTTCTTCCATTCTTGCTCACGTTTTGGCATTTCTCTCTCGCAATTGCACCAGTGTGACGTCACACAAAAGTTATTCTCAAAAATCCTCTCTGATCGGCGCAATCTTGTATTCTATCATTCTTGCGTCTATACCACAGTTGGGCAGCGTCTGCCCGACGGCCGACTGCGCGGCGTATTCGCGTATTCATACACGCTCGGCTTGGGAAGACATCGAAAGCTTTATTCAACCGCACGACTTGTTCGCACACAGTGACATCAATTGCACGCACACTCCACAAATGCTCTGCCGAAGCTGCCCACCTCTGGCCTATACCGTCAAGTCGTTCCTTTACTTTTGATATTTTTGTTATTTCCCAATTAAAGTGCCAAAAATTTGAATTCAACAGAATTGAACAGAACAGTAAGTCTGGAATCATGTAAATCGCTTGTAAGCTTCAATTGCTTTTTTATTTTTCAATACGAGATTTTATTAAACAATTTTTGCCCTTTTTTATCCTCGGGGATTGTATACACTTTTTTGTGGATTGTATCGATTGTCAAAGAAAATTTTCCGTCATACGAACGAAAATAGTCTACCAAAAGAAAGTTTTATTTTTGTATTATTCCAGTTAAATAATATTAAAAATATCGTATAGCACTAAAACCTAAGTTGTTCGGAAATCATTGGTTATATTAACATACAAAACACATTTATAATGCGTGCGAAAATTGTAGTTGGGCGGCTCTAAGAAACTTGTACGAGCGGAGCCCAGTCAAGCCAACAACACCCAGACTGTCTCAACAACAACAACAAGATTTGGATAAAACAAACTGGGTGAACGCTGGGCTTTACTCCTGCAAAATAAAGTTATCTTGCTTAAGTTCTGCGTGATAAATTTTTAATATTTTGGTAATCCATACAGGAGTTCTCTGGACACCCACAGTTTAAAATATTAACATCCAAAAATCTAAAATTTCAGATTTTCCTTGGCCTAAATTCTTTCCATCGCATAAGAAGCAAGACGGAGAATCAAGTACAGCATTCTGCAAACCGCCTTTTGAGGACGTATAAAGTTTGTTATCTGTCAGCGGAGGTGCGGCGGTGCCTGTCAGCTTTGATAAATGATGCTATCATCTATAAACAATTCCTTCGAGCAGGATACGCATGACGTCGATGGGAACTGTGATGGGCCGGATTTGGATTTTGTATACGCCGATGTAGATACGTATCAGAACGAGATTGCAGAACTCTATAGCTATACGGAATTCAATGAACTCCAACAAAATGTAAAAGCGTTTGAAGATCAAATGGAAATGTATGACTTGCCACCAAACTGGCAAAAACAGAATGCTTCATCTCAACGCAGTATTATAATGAAACTAATCGATCAGCTCGAGGTTTCCAGTCGCTCATTTCGAATGCAGGCTGCACGTTGCATTCTCTATTTGGCGCAAGGTTGTTGGGCTGAAGTGCAGTCTGATGAAGAGCAACATCAGATTACGCGCGACAATGTTATAGTGCTGTATGAGTTGGGCGTGTTCTCTTCCTTTATTGATTTATTAAATATGGAAATAGAGAGCGCTTGCTCACCCGACATTGTAGCTGTGAAGATAACCAACGTTACTTTGGTAGATTCGACAGACTTGCGCGTGATACTTTCGGTGTTGTATATAATAACGGAAACGATTCGAGATGAAAAAGAGAAAGAAAGCGAAGATTACAAAAAAATTGCAGAAGCATTTGTGCAGGAAATAAATACTCCTCTGCCTGACGGCGAACTGCTTGCGGTCAAACTTTTGGGTATGATTACACGTTTTTGTAGTGGTGCCGCACCTCATTTTCCAATGAAGAAAGTCGTACTCTTGTTATGGAAAATAACATTGCTGGGACTAGGCGGCATGGAAACGCTTAAAAATTTAAAAAATGAATATCGTATCAAAGCTAGCCTTGAACCAGTCACTGAAGATACACTGGAGGTAACAAAGAATATGCGTGCTAGCTCACCACCAGCTACCGCAACTGATATTTTGGATAATCAAAATCCAAAACGGAACGCGTTTAGGTGAGTGAATTTAAATTTTGTGTATTAATTGGCTATAAAATGATTAAATTGCAGACGATCGCTGATGAAGCAACGTTTTCTCGATGAACAAGAACAAATGGACATGGAGCTTACTCCTGGGAATGAAAGTGCCCCTTCAGGCAATAATGGCGGCAATGGCAATCAAGAAGAAGATATTTCGCAGTTCTACCGTCAGTTTGAGGACCCTTCTGCCACCACCGCTAACCCTAATAATCAGCCAAGCTTCTCACAGCCACCACCTGTACTACCAGTGCAAGTTACAACTCGTTTGCCGTGGGCACCCAAAGTCCGCCAAAAGGACATTGATCAATTCTTGGATATATCGCGAAACAAATTTATCGGTTACTCACTGATCGATGATCATGAAAGTCTGGCTGGACTGCCGCAACCCATACATGAGGGCGTTCAGACTTTGCGACGCCATATGTACGTTAGTTTAGCCGATGTGCAAATAAAGAAGGAGGAAGAAATTGCACGAAATCCAATATCTACACAAGAGGATGAAATACCCATGAATCCCGCCGAAGTACTTTATCAGGCAATTTTGCCTAATCTGCCACAGTACATGATTGCACTTTTGAAAGTTTTATTAGCAGCATCGCCCACGTCAAAATCCAAAACGGAAAGCATTAACATAATGGCCGATGTTCTACCCAAGAAAATGCCAATAACAGATTCCCAAAAGCTGACTGTCGACATGAGTCGGCATAAGGAAATCATTGTCAAAGCGGTATCAGCAATTATTCTGCTGTATTTGAAACATTTCAAAATTAACCACATATATCAATTCGAATTTATGTCCCAGCATCTTGTCTTCGCCAATTGTATACCATTAGTGCTGAAGTTCTTCAATCAAACTATCACCGAGTATGTAGGCATGAAAAATACCATACCGCTCTTAGACTTTCCCTCCTGTGTTATTGGCGAGCAGCCAGACCTTTCGGGTGAAAGTTTTGTTTACAGCGGCGAAGTCTCTGATAAGCCATACTATTCATGGCGTAACGTCTTCTCTTGTATCAACCTGCTGCGTATCCTTAATAAGCTGATCAAATGGAAGCATTCGCGCGTGATGATGTTAGTTGTATTCAAGTCGGCACCCATACTCAAGAAAACACTGAAAGTTCGTCATGCCATGATGCAATTATATGTCTTGAAGCTGCTCAAAATGCAGACAAAATATTTAGGACGTCAGTGGCGAAAATCGAATATGAAGACAATGAGTGCTATTTATGCAAAAGTACGGCATCGTCTTAACGACGATTGGGCGTTTGGCAACGATTTAGAGTCGCGTCCATGGGATTTTCAAGCGGAAGAATGTACACTACGTGCCTGCGTAGACCGCTTTAATTTGCGTCGCTACCCAGAAGCTACACAAAAATGTGGTGCAGGTGGCAATAACGGGAATTCCGGCAACTCGGATAACTCATCCGGTAATATAGGAAGTGGCGCTGGGGGTGGCAGTAATATGGTAGGCGGCACTGACGCCAATGGTTTTGGCGGAGGCGGTACTGGCGGTGGCGGCAATGGGCATGCACAGTTAAATGATTATGGTGTAGAAGGTGGATTTCCAAGCGATGAAATACTATCGCACTCAGATTTTGCATTCTTCGGACACTCGGGTTGGTGGGATCGGAAAGTGGAATTAACCGATTATTTCAAAGAAAACTACTCGATATGGCTGGAGGAAGAAGTTTACAACAACCAAATTGACTGGGATGCGCTATAGGCGACAAGCAGTAGAAATTGAAATAATTGACAAATTCATAAAGCTAAACCAGAAATAGCATTAATTTAAAACACCAGAATGTGTGTACTACATACGTACGTGCGCGCAAAAATCAAACATTTTCAAAAAAATATATATATATATATATACTTAAACAGAATAATCGCATGAAGTTTGTTACATAAAGAACAAATTTAAGAATCGCAGAAATACTGATTCAAAAGCAAAATACAATTATAAGGATACGCCTATTTGAAAACTCATACAAATGGAAGCAATTACTGCTCGTCGTATTGGCGACATCATCTATCGCCGTTTTATATTTTCTTTTGGCACTCGGATTCGGCACTGTATTAAAGTTTACGAATGCTATGCGCGCAAAGCTCGCATATAAAACTAAATCGTTGATTATACACATACACTTACATACAAATAAACAATAATTATAGCAACATATTAGAACTAGCGAACCTTAAAAAAAATTGTTTTAAGTTGTAGGCGCTCCACTCTACATAATGTAAATTGAAAGCACTTCATATAGTAGTTTCTAAATATATGTATGTAACTTTGTAATGTCATAACTTGAAATCGGATACCACAACAGTAGGATGTTTACTTTATACAATGCATGAAAGATAGCAAAACCTAATAAAAAGTTTATGAGGAAATTTAAACAAAAATCTTTGAAAAAAAAATGAAGATTTGCGCAAGGCATACACTGTAGCAAACCAGCAAAACTAATAATAAATAACATGATTATTAAACAGATATTTTGTGTATTTTATTGGGAAGGATGACGCCAATACAGGCGCTACGAGGTTTCTTAAATTCACCTAACTTAGCGTGTTTTGTAAAACGGGGAACTCATCTTCATTTAGTAAAATCATCGGTGTATATTTTATTTTTATTTTTTGTTTATTTTCAATAATTTTGTTATTCATTTACATCAATTCAACTGATTTCATACTTTGTACGCATATTTACAATATGATTGAGTACAATGTACGCATGATTCATCTTAAATTTACATAAATATACAATAACTATAAACCTTTTTATGAATAGTAGACTCAAATAGATCTTAACTTTAGTACAACTAAAGAATCTATGCATACTTTCTGTACGATCTTATAATATAAAAAATCACGGTGCAGACAAAGAATAATGTATCAAATATTCCTTCCTCCTACTTACTGCTGTTCCATGGGACATGTTTTCGGCGGGTTACCTGTTACACCGGCCGGCAAATGTGCACTGTTGCCAACACAACTCTCACTGCTCACCACTGTACCACTCGCTAAGCAACTCGGTATGCCGAGTAGCTTTTGTGGTGGCGGACACGCTACGTCACAACGTTCTTCAAAGTGATTCGCTATCTTTTGCAGCACAAATTTGAAGAGGCGCTCTTTGCTCAATTCACCATTTAGGAACGTTACATCCTGCCTATCGCGTATTTCGTTAAAATTCTTTTCATAATGCGGCCAGACGCATATTTCGAAATAGCCAGTGACATCCGGTGGATCGTAGGTGCGTTTCTGACGCCGTTCATAACATTTTTCATATGGCAGATGGAAATGGAATTTTATATTACACAGCTTCAATATTTTTGGCTCATTAAAAATAGTAAAACCTTCAATGATAAGCAGGTTAATTTTGTTATCACGCAAGTGTGTTGTAAGTTGTGAATTGATGCGCATTATATGCGAACTATGTGCAGCGTTTGTACTGGTATGAGCATGCGAATGGTTATGATGCTGTTGTGCGTGCAGGTGCGCATGTTGATTACGTTGGGTTTGGGTTTGATTTTGATGTCGTGATGTTAAGCAGCACTGGTTTGCTTTTAAGTTATTTGGTTGGTAAATTTGTTGTGTAACTGGTTGGGTGTAGTGCTCGAAATTGGTGGACATGGACATTTCGTTGATAAAGTCAATATTCTCCATTGGATCAGTAGCCAAATAACGTCCCTTCATGGTCCATTTTATGTCAGAGAGCATCTGTTTCATATCCAGAGAGCTTAGTAACTCGAAATTAATTACATTCAGTTTATCATTCCATTTGTGGCGCAAATCATCTACTGGCAAGAAGTAATCATCTTGAGAAATTAGTTGTACATCTCCCACAATGTATGGGGTACTCCAAAGTGGTGCACCACACATCTGTTTGAAATAGTCGCGTAAACGGTGGGCTAGCGTTGTCTTGCCGCCACAGGTTACACCCGAAACACCAATCACCAGCCACGATGGCATGCCGAGTTTTCTTCCGTTTGCACTAAATGAGTTCAAAACAAGTACTGCAATTATTAGACGAGAATTCGGTTTCCAACCGGTTGATGTCGTCTTCAAGCGGATGGCTGAAGTTAGATAACCTTTTCAACCTGATGATATTGATAGTTATTGTTGTTTATTGATTGTTTGCTTTTAAATGTTACGGCACTTAATGACGCACGTTTTTATATAGTTTTTCGCTGCCAAATATAATCCCAGATATGGTACAAGGTGTAGGCCGATGTGCCACCAAGGAAAATTACGCCGAATACTGCCGGGAATATAAAAGCATACTCAAGCGGTGGAAATAACGAATGTATTAAGTTAGCTGTAAATAAAGATAAAAACCAAAATTAACAATAATGTGGAAAAATAAAAAATTTATCAGTTATGAAATGAATTAAACGGCTTTTTACTGTTGAATCTTTGTGTCTACGCGTTTTTTTTTCAATTGATCACTAAATTGGTCACAAAGCTTGAGGCGGTCGATTCCAAGCCCAGCATAATTAGAATACAATGGGTCCGGTCAGAGCCTCTGTTGTCGTAATTGAAACGTTGTTTTTCACTTGACCGCACTCACCTTCGTCTATCAGCATGAACGGCAATATGGATACCCAAAAGAAATAGTATAGAAAAAATGTGAGTGCAACGACGACCACTATTTTTCCAACCTGCGAATTTGAAGCCATTAACAATTGTAATCTTGCTGCGTCACAATTGAAATGTGCGTGTTTTTAATTTTCTTCAATAGTTGGTGGGTGGTTGGCATATGTAAATGGTGTGCGCTGAAAAACTTCCAATTTCACACGTATGGTGACATAAACAACGCCATTAAGTTTCACACCAACGTGCCACCGATAGCTAAACGGTAATTTGAGTTATTAAACAAATAAGTAATCACTACTGCACTTTTTCCATAAAAAAAACAAATCAAAGTTCATTAGTATAAGCTATATTTCTAACGTACGATAGCAGACTTGCGAAAATTTGTTTGTTTTTATTAAATGCAGGGTTGATACTGACAGGAACATATTTTCAGGCAAAGGGTTGGTAATATGGAAATGTACAAATATCAACTATTAACTTTATTTTGCTATATTAATAAAAAAAATTACGGTTTGCACGCTGGTTATGAATATTTGATGTTTAAACGTCCATCACATATAATTTTTAGAAGTACGTAGTACATGCGTGTGCATATTTCTGGGCTCATATAAGTCAGTAAGAGTCCAAAATTAGGTGCCAAAATAACAATATAAATGGCAACCCGTCTTGCATCAGCTGTTGGCCTGTCAATTCAACTGTCACATGAAATCTGTATCTATTGTGAATAAAAATTGTTGTGGTCCGAAAAGGAAGTGGATATAAAGATTTTCGTAATTTATGCGCATAGACCAAGAGAAAACTGATTGTTGTAAATAACCGTTATATATTGATTTTAAATATATGTATGCCTTTTTCGCCGCATCGCTACAAATGCAAGTATTGATATCAGAGAAGCTTCCATCGGTTTAACCGGGATGTTTATTTTTATTTTATGTAGAAGCCGCTTCCTGTTGCACACCTGGCGCTTACCATAGGCTTTGGAAAAAATTAAAGTAACTTTACTAGCCCGGTAGCGAGTCGTTCCCACGTTTAGATGCACTACTAAGCTCGCCCTATGGTCGGTTCGGCAATTCTGATACACAGAAGTTTCTCGCATTATTAGGAAGCATAAAACTGTAAGCACAATTTAAAGAACAACAATAGAACCAAAACCATAAATTGTTAGTTCAAGAAGCTTTTGCATGCTCGTACGAGTGTATGCATGTGCATAGATAAACATCTGTGGACATTTGACAGAACAACTTAAGTCTATCTTTCACGGACAAACTAAATAGCACAAGTCGGCAAAGCGCTTTTTACCACCAGATCGAAATAAATTTTATTTAAAAGAAAGCATTCAGTGTTTGAAAACAGAAACATTTAACGGGTTGGGAATAGCGATACAATAATTTAATATTTCCTTCGAACTATAACAATCTTCTCTTTGCCGGTAAAATATGTTTTGTCGACATTCATATGCTATTTGGTTTGTCCGTGAAAGATAGGCTTAAGTTGTTTTGTCAAATGTCCACAGATATGTATGTATGTATTAGGGTGGTCCTTAAATGTAGGAAGAAAATTTTTATATCAAATTTCCTAAGCCTCAACCCCTACGTCGATGCTACTATAGTCGAAGATATCACATACAAGTTTTGGCCACGATTGGAGTCGATTAAGGCGTGGCGCTCAGGGATCAAAATTCTGATTACCCTATGAAGACATCTTAACCGACTCCAATCGGGACCAAAATTTTTATGTGATATCTTCGACTATAGTAGCATCGATTTTGAGTATTAAATGAAAAAAAAACATTTTTAATTTTTCGAGTCTCCATGGAACATCTGGCCATGGACCCCATTGCGACAAGCCTTAACCGTCTCCAATCGGGACAGAAATTTGTATGTGACCATGGTATTACCGATTGTAAAGGTGAGACTGAAAAAAATCGCTCATTTGATTTCTAAGTAACACCCTAATGTAGTAAATACGCATATCTCCACGCAGCTCACCGAATATTCGGCGAAAGTTAATACGGTATTACATATGAAGGTATGTATGTACATATATAGATGTATGTGTGGTATTTTCGAATGAAGCTTCTTTCGCAAAACGCATTTCTGCCACCGCCAAAGGAAGAGCAGAATGACTTCTTTAAAGCTGTGCTATTTACCACCATCACACCATAAATATGTCTAAACTCTAATTCGGAGAATCCAAAACAGCTACAGCTACCTAAAATAAATTGTTACTTTTCATTGGTTTTTCGTTTGTGGCTACTACAGGTTTTTTTTAAGGAAGGTTAGGAAAAAAATTTGTGACGACAACAAACGACAAATTTATGCCCACATACTTATATATGTATATATGTACATTAGAGTGGTTCAAAAAAATTTTTTTTTGAAATTCATTAACACTATCTCAAATTATTGTTATTTGTGATAAAAAATAATTTTTTCAAAAATTGATCGCCATTTTGGATCCACCATTTCGAATTTTGAAAAACTGACTTCAGATTCTTCATTAGCAACCCCAGAAACCCACTGGTAACAAGTTCCAACCCTTTACAATGCGTAAATCGTTCAGTATCAACGTTTTAATTTTAGTAGTCTCTTTTCGAGAGCATATTTGCGGGAACTAGGCCCATTCTAACTGTCCAAGAGAGGTATGTAATTAAGGGAATATTTCCCAATAACACCAGAGTAATTATATGTAAAAACCACATTTTTAGCTGCATTTTAAAATGTCAAGATATTAAAAAAAATTGGAACATTAGCGTTTTTATAAAAAAACCGATTAAATATTACCACATGGTAAACAAACTTGGTATATGTATTACCATTTTTAACAAAAATAAAAAAAACGACGTAAATTTATCGATTGAAAATTGGTTGAAATGAACCTTTAAAGCTTTATGAAAAGTCGTTCGGTTTTCGGTTCGGATGAAACGTTTGTGGAAAATTTCGGTTCGGTTAATTGTATCAGTTAGTTTATAGAAAAAATCGGGTTTCCAGTTCAAAACCGGTTCGGGTCCCTCGTAAAAAGTATTCAGCCTTATCCTGAGTTTCGCCCGAAAAAAAATTTAAACCGAAAATTTTTCAACCGCCTATAGTAAATACATGGAAATCAAAATTGAATAGAGACCCGGTTCACAGTGCCACCTAAGTGAGCAAAATTCGAAAAATTCTGTTCTTGTCTGCAATGTGAACGTGTTTAGTATTTTTGTAAAGGTAATTTATCCACTAAAAAGTGTAAAATACAAATTTCCATATAAAATGAATTATATGCCGCCAGGAAGGCACTAAAGTCGAAAAATTGTATACGAAGAATATTAATAAGAGCATAGCCATGCGTAAGCTCTTCACGGAAACAAATGTCGAAAATAAATTTTAATCAAAATTAAAAAAAAAATTATAAAATTATGTAAAATGATGTTATTTTTTATGATATTATTAAATAATACGGGTTTTTAGCTTTCGAAAGAAGAAATAAAAATCGGCTAATTTTTTTTAGATACTTTCTGAAGTAATGCGTTTTATGCTAATGCATAAAATATATTTTTTTTAATTTTTTGTCAGTGCCATCAGATATGAACGATTCGTTCTATTTTCAAAAAGGAAGTGTCAGATTAAAAAGTTTGACCTGCAGACAATAGAGGTTTATTTTTTTTAAAGAGTTGCCACCTGTTAAAAAATTTAATTCAAAATTTTTAATAATTTACATGAATTATTAAGCGATGGGTATCAATAGAAATGTGTATGATAAAGGTTTATTTCTTAACTACATGTAGAGGGTTGCCACCTGCTCAAAAATCAAATACCATTGGAATTTAAGGAATTAGGTTATTGAAATAGATAGGTATAACCATATGAGAGTCAGACAAAGAGGTTTAAGAAGGTTTTAGCTTGAAAATACTACGAAGAAGGTTGTCAAATTTAGTTAAACTGAAATAATAATCGCATTTCTTATTTTATTACAAATACATACATTGTCAATCAGTGATTTGTTCCGATTACATACCTTTGAAATTACTGCACTCTTAAATTAACTAAGGAATGTTTTTAGTCTTCACTTATGTCTTGCTTAATATGTCAAATTTTTTCTTTTGTCTGATACCCATATTGATATACATATTTCAGTTACCTTATTCCCTTAATTAAAGTGAATTTGATTTTTTGAAGAGGTGGCAACCCTTTGAAAGTAAATCATTTTCAAAACCATTTCAATTGATACACATTTTGTACTATCTACTTCATTTAACTTATTAAATAATNGAGGTGGCAACCCTTTGAAAGTAAATCATTTTCAAAACCATTTCAATTGATACACATTTTGTACTATCTACTTCATTTAACTTATTAAATAATTTTACTAAAATTTGTAACAGGTGGCAACCTGTTTCAAAAAAAAAAAATAAAACTTTATTGCACATCTACAATAACCCAAATTTTCAACTTCAAACTGCATTTACAGTGAAAGTATGAAAGTTACCCAAAAACAAATTTGACTTCAGGTGCTTAGCTTTACAAAGTTGCGAATTTTCATTTAAAACCGTCCATAATTATATTTTTGCCCATATTTCATATGGAAGGGAGCCACTGTGCGGTTCGGGGAAAATGAAACTCATAATAAGTCTGATTATAAATTTCCAAGTATGAATGTATGCTTTTTTACAGAAAAAACAAAAACACCGTTGCGGCCAAATTTAAACAAACAAGCAACAGTGACCACGGCCGGCGGCGATTAAAAGTGTTAGTCGATTCATAAGCATATTACCAAAAATGTATGTATGTAAGTATACCTACACATATTTTGCGTGGTTCGACTGGAATGCGTTGCAGCCAATTCGATCTCGCCTGTTGCTAGGCATCCACCAGCTAAGCCATTTACGTCTACACGCCGGCGGCCACGCTAGTTCTGCGAACCAGTTTCTTTCATTCATTCGAAGCTCTTGTGCCTACGTCTCATTTGATTTAGTAAATTCGTCGCTATGGCCAAGGGATGCGGCATAAGTAGCGGCGAGTCTTAAAGCAGTGGAGCGCCAAAAGAATTTTGCAATTTTTTTTTGGCTGCTTTGATGACTTTGCGATTTTGCGGTATTTGTATGTTTTCGTTTCTTCTTATTTCTGGTCAATATCCTAGACATCTAAGTTATTTCACAATTCCCACTCGTGCGTATCCAAATTTTTTGGGTCGTTTTTTTTTTTGTTCAAAAGTAGGCGCACATAGTTAGAATTCTTTTAATTGAGGGTTAATGTGCTCGAAAAATCTCTGGCAAAAAGAGTTGACAACAATAAAAAAAAAAAATGTATTAGCAATCATCTAAGATTTGAAGCTTCGTTTCGGCTATTCATTCATAGTTTTGAATGACTTAAATACTAAATAAATTACAGCAACAACTAATACGTAATG